GAAAAAAAAAAAGTCTAACCACCAAATTCTAACGGGTAAGTTGAAGCTGCACTTTCCACTTCCAGTAGAGGTGGTAAAAATACTCACCTGCTTAATCATTTAGTGCTGCAGACGGCATATTGAGCAAATTCCTTCTCAACAAGTAAAGAAAACACTTGTTTTTAAAGATGCAGAAGCAGTAGAAGCAGCTTATAGTCATTCAGAGTCCATGTTTAGTCAAGAACATCTTACCTATTAGCTTGACTCGGCCTGAAGTTATCAAGCTTGGGTCATCTTTCTTCACATTGTTTACAGAATCATCTACCAGCTCTTTGATATGATCAATTCCTATAACTTTCCCTTTTGGGCCTACCTGGAGAAGACAAAACAAGGTGGCGTTCAGTTCCAACAGAAACCCCCAAACTATTGAACGATTTCTTCTGATTTTCTACAGTGACTGGTTCGTATATCATTTAGGTTCTGGATAGATTTGTGTGCTACATCAGGGGGGAAAAAAAATCAAAAACATATGTGTTTACCCGCCATGTGTGTGGCTCACCATTCGTGCAAAGCAAACGGAGAGGATTCCGCTGCCTGAGCCGACATCCAGTGCTTTGGCTCCCTCATACAGCTGATCGTGTAAAAGCTCTAGTGCATAGGCATGCTGGAAGGATTGCCCCCAAAAAAAAAGAGAAAAGAAAAACGTACTTTAAGAGAGAATTGCATCCGACACTGGCTGACAAGACGCCAAGTTCCAGGATGTAGAAACATTTACAGTTCATACCATATGTGGGGCGCTGATGGTAGCTTGATAGCCTTTTTAAAAAAGAAGCATATGTTACTTAGATCTTCAGACTGTAGGAGATGAGATAAATGATGATAGAGGACATACCTATTGACTGTGGCGAGTCCATGTATGGATTACACCTAGAGTAATGTGCTCGGTCTGTGGACAGCATGACTTCATACACCTTGTCGGATTTAATAATGCCGTTTTCTGAAGACGAGAAAGAGGTTGTGTCACTGCATATGACCGTAGATGCATGGGCAAAGAAGCATTACATAATCCTGCAGCGAAAATAAAAATCAGTAGTCAAACAAAGAGACATTATCCACTTTAGAGAAGAAAAATCCTCACAAAAATGGGACTCCATTTATAGTAGCATACTTTGCCTTTATCAAAGCGGAGAATAAACCTCAACACAGTTTGTCATTATAGGCATTTTTCTTTTACTTAAAAGCCATGGTTACTGATTAGAATTTGTGATTTGATATTATTGAATCACTAAAGAGATTTATTGTGCATTTTCAAAATGAACAATTGAAAAGGATCACTTGTTCCTGCAGCATCTTGTGCCAAAAGCGGGTAAAAGCCAACAGCCTGTGAATCATTACTCAATTTATTCATCTCAAATAAAAAGCACACCTAAAGACATGAGTAAAATCTATTTTACAATTTGAGGTTATCTAAAATTTGCAATAGTAAATGGACCTAATGGAACAAAACACTTTGAAAACATTCATTCCAGCTTGGACTGACCTGGGAACACAGAGAAAAGGGAGACGTCCGTAAATTAGTATGCACTCTACGAGTGACCTGTTTTAAAGCACCTTATGCTAATTCTGGGTTCAATTTCCCCCATTTGTGTCTAAATGGGTCAGTGGCAGCTACGATGGATGCAGAAATAAGCAAACATATAGGAGAAAAAAAACCTGTTACACAGCCTCATTTGAATGAAACACTAGAAATCTTTAACAGATGAAAGAATGTTTTTTTCTCTAAAGCTTTAAGGGGATCCTTTCTGCATTTCCTATTGTTAAACATTAGATTATAGTATCGACACCAATCAGCTATGTTAAACTGCTTTCAAGTCAAAATTCAAGCTACTGTAAATTTCAGACAGACAGACAATCACATTAATCGCTTCTCTTCCTTTCAAATCTTGCAGCTATTGGCAAACAGCATGAAGCCTGCAATGAAATACTGGACTGACTGGAATATAAATAGACCTGGTTACATACTTAATAGTGAAAGTAGATTTGCAAACCCAAGTCTGAGTATATCCTAATGCTATCTGCAATATGCATGTAGAAAAACCATGTCAGGGTTTTATCAGTTTGTGACAGACTCAAATGACATTAATTAGGATGGACTTAGTACAACATTGGTCTATAAAGGTGCCACACTAAGGGCGTTTCACTTTTGTTGCAGCTGACAAGAAGTACTGTGAAAACGAATGGACTTCAGCTTGAATGTTTTCTTTGAACGTCGTCTATTTTACAATGGTAAAGATAATGAAAGCAAGCCTAAAAAAAATACAATTGTCAACTAGAAAAGTTTGTTCTCTTATTTTTGTATCAGAAAAGTTTTTGAGCCACTTAATGTAAAGAATAAAAAGAACCAGAAGACTTGGTTTGGGATGTATATTACAGTATTTTTGAGCAAAGTCCAACAGGGAATATTACCTATGTAAATGTTTGACACAAAAAATGCTCCCAGTGTTTACGGTCAGGGAAATTTCAGAAAGGGACCAACGCCACAAGATGTTTCCCTTGCTGTATGGAGTAGAGTACATGAAGTGCTGTCTGACCCATATCTGTTGTTGCATACTGCAAAATAAATACAGTTATCACCCTTTGATCACTTAATTATTGTAACTATTTCCTGTCAAACAAAAGTACAGACATTAAAATTATGACAAAAGGAAACTGAATTGTTCATCCAACATTTAATTACAAGTCAAATAGAACTTTAAACGACAACATTTTGGTTGAGTTCTATTCTATATGCACAAAGAATAAAATCATCTAATATTATATATATATATTACATATATATTACATGTGCCTTTCTACACCAATATAATGTATAAATTCTTCCAGGAATTGGAAATTTATCTTTATGTTTATTTCTTGAATTAACTATGAAGATTAACTTGAAAAATATATGTTTTAACCATAAAAATTAAATATTCTAAAGCAAGAACTATTGCTGTATGTTTGAGTACGAAAGGGTCAGCATTTGAATTTTTTTCACAACTTTCACTGATGAATATACATTTTCCCACAATTTCATGGTTTAATTTCTACAGCTATTTCTAGCTGATGATGCTTACTTTTTGAGCAGAACAGCTTTAATTAGGTCAATTCTTTATGTATATTTGATGGTGAAATTGCTACAATGAAGACACGTGTTTGTGCTCCAGGCAGAGCTTTATTAAAAAAAAAAAAAAATATATATATATATATATATATATATATATATATATATATATATATATAAAACTAATAACACCTTCATTGAAGATGTAAGAAACTGATGAGACTGAGTCTATGTTAAGTGCTAAGCAACTGTCCGCTAAAGACAAAACCAAGCTACATTTCCTTAACTCCTGCACCAGAATCTAGTTTGATATTTTCAGCTGCTACTGTCATTCACATAGATGTGCAGCCAAAGATACAGACTCATGAGGGTGGGCAGGGCAACACAATGCCAAATGACGCACATACAGCTAACAGGCTAAGCTAACGTTGCAAAAAAACAGTTGCAGTTTGACATACTTGAAAACGTAAAAGTTGTATTTTTTTGTTACTTTTGTTTTGTTTTTTTTATCTTTGGTTTAATATATATGCATCTGTTCCACGCGTGAATGTGGAGTGCAAAAAAGGGGTGGGGAGACGCTAGGTCAACAAACAGCTTAGCAACCAGCTAGTTTAGCTAGCATGATCCCCATGCTAACCCCCTAGTCTCCAAAGTGCACCGATTTACGGCGACGAGTCGAGAAGGAGGTAACGATGCTAAAGCTCCAACATGCACTCAGACTTACTGCGGAGATTGTTAACGAGCTCTGCATGGCTGGCTCCTCCGGATTTCCACGCCATTATTAAGCAGACTTTGCGGAGTAAGTAGACAGCAGCTGTCAGTGCCGCGCCTGCGCCAACGGTTTTACCGATAAAGCTGACAACCTCCAAAGGAGACGGTGGAGCAGCGGATACGTCACCGGACATCAAAATGGCTTTTAGCGCCTTTTCAGAGACACAAGCGAATCGAAATGGGAGTCATTTTAGTTTATGATTAATTTATGTGGATATGCATCAAACGCAATGTTGGCTGAGAGACATTAAAGCCACATTGCTCCTCCACAGTCCGATTTACAGCAGTAACGTAATGGTATGACCACTAGATGGCGTAAAGCATTAATTTGCAGTAACCGGGGGAAAAAAAGGGTAGTTTATCCCGCTTCACACTCCATTACAGTAGATGGCGGTAATGAACATCAATAATACGTCGCTTGCCAACCACAATAAAAAAGAAGAACGGGTAGTTTTCTGCTTGAACCTTACGCGCCACCGTAGCGACGTATAAAGTGGCGGTTGTGTGCGTAGAATGCTAAGCTAACTTTAGACTTGACTTGTTTTTTAATTGATATAAAGAGTGACTTTCAATGGAAAGTGCTACATACGTGTCTCAAAAAATCAGCAAGACGAGATGGCGTCCTGTCTCTTATTCGGCTTTACAGCAGCCTGATATATTTGCCACCGGATCATGGGACAACGAGGTTAGCAGTCATACGAGAGAAAAAAAATCAACTTTAGCTATATGTGTTTTTTGTTATAGACGAAATACAAAAAATGGAAAAATAACAGTGTATAAAAATTATATTCTCTAACTAGGAATTTATTTTTCGGCGTGCGTTTTTACCCTGTAAAATCTTTTTTTCCTCTGCTAAATGTCTATTTCTTGTCTAACTGCTGGTTGTGTGTTTATATTTAAGGAAAATACAATGAGATTTTTTTTTGTTCAAGTTGTAATTATATTAAAGTAGCCTGGCTTTGAATATTGTTTTTACTTTAGTCTCTGTTTTCTTGCAGGAAAACAAGGTTTCTGTTTGGTCGATTGGGGATCAAGGCAGATCTGATCTGGAAGATGGATTTGAAGGAGACCCACAGCTCCTCTGTGAATATAACCACGATGGGGATGTTCTTGACCTTCAGGTAAAGAGAGAAAAAAAACCATTCCATTTAGTATATACTGATACGTTTGCATCTCACACTTTTCTTAAAATCAAGGCTGTAAAAGGGGTTTAAAAAGGTTAAAGAGAAGAAAACAAGACCAACAACAGAATCAGGGTTTCAATAAATCCTTATTTCAGCTAATTATCATCTTTGGTTTTTTTAAACTTTAAGACATCTGTGCTGTTCAAACTTACATCCATCATGGACAACACCTTTCACCCTCTGCACCTGACTGTAGAGGAGCTGAGCAGCTCCTTTAGTGAAAGACTTTTACACCCAGTTTGTAAAAAGGAGCGCTACCGCAGGTCATTCATCCCTGTTGCAACCAAACTCTACAATGCGAGACCAAAACGGCAATAACTTGTGCAATTACAGTTTTGATACNCCTGTTTGGTTTACATATTTTGCCATGTAGAATAAACCAATAGGTAATTCCATTAGTAACTATTAATTTCCACACATCAAATGTACAGATTTTTTCCCCCAGTCTATTTAAGCTTTATTTTCATTTCTATATATATATATATATATATATATATATATAACCATGTAAACACCCTGTGCATTAACCCTGTATAACTCACATTTTTCTTCCTTTGGCACCTTTTTCTTCTCCTTTTACTATTTTAGCTGATGTAACGAGTATATTTCTCCACTTTGAGATCAATAAAGTCAATCAATCAATCTTTAAGACAGAATTGAAAATGACAAAACAGGGATTATTAATCCTTCTCATTCAACAGCAAATTTTCCTTAAATTTGCTTTTGATAGGAGTGTTTTAATAGTGGTGGAATCAGTACTCCATGTGGTACTTATGTCTTTATGCAGGAGATCCACAGTCTGAACCTGACATCCAATTTTTGTAAATCTTTAACAGGATATTTTGAACGCTGTAATCGACATGGTAGAAATCATTAGTCATCTCCAAAGGCTGGAGGACAGCTATCTTGGGTTTTAGCTGTGGCATTGGCTATTTACTATATGCATATCTTAGGTGTGTCTTCCTTCTCTTAAGTGGAAGCTAGTATTGGTACAAAAAAAAAAAATCTCTTCATGCAAACAGGTTTATATGTTTAAAAAAAAAAGCTCACTGGCAAATCAAGCTTTAGTGAAAAGCAAAAATCAATGTTGGCAGGTAAAATGTGATCGGTGCGTTTTCACTGCATATCATTAAATCATTTGTTAGCTCAGAACAATGTTTTACAAAGTAAGACATCTACTAAGAGACTAACTTTTTTTCTTCCAGTTTTTGGACCAGGAAAGATTTGTCACAGTCTCATCCACAGGAGCCGTCACCATCTTCCGCCACCACCAAAACAGTCAGGTACACTCAGATTAACTCCAGTTTTCCTGACTAAACGTAATGTTGGATAACTTTTAAGTGATTCACACTATAACAGACCCACACTTAAATCAATGAAATATTCTTTAATCTGAATTTGAATCATGTTGGAAGAACACCTGATTAACAGATAAGTTTTATTTAGATTTTTCAGCGATAAGGCAGCAATGACTGAAGAGCCTAATGTTGAAATCAAATACAACACAGGCAATGTATCAGACCTTATCCTAGATTTAATCCCTTTTTTTCACAGATTAAAAGATATCCATCTAATTTAGAACAAATTTATCCCTTTTATCAGATGGTTATTTGAGCACTAAAATACGGTTTTATTAGGAATAATCAGGAAAATCTCCAAAAGCTGAGCCATCTTCAGACACATATGTTTTGCTTCTATGAACATGCTGAACATAAACATTTCCATATTATTATTTTCCATATCTCCTCCCCCTTTTTAACTGCAGACACTCTCAGTAACCCAGCAATGGGCGAAAGCACATCGTTTCCCCTGTAATAATGCCCCCAGCACAGGAGTCGCCTGCAGCACTCCTGAAGTTGTAACAGTGGGGGAGGACGGCAGGATAATTGTCTTCAGAGTCGACCAGGAAGGAGTGGTTCGAGTCATAGGTGAGATAAACATTAAACTCCTCCATCCAGATGAGTTTTCCATTTTCAGACTAAATGTGGAGTGAAGAGGAAGCAGCTAATCATCATGCTGCTTAACCTTTTGTTAGATAATGCAGACAGCAGCACGCTTCATGCTGTGACTTACCTGAGGACAACAGAGGTTTTGACCGTGAACTCCATCGGCCAGCTCAAGTTGTGGGATTTGAGGCAGCAGAGCAGCTCACCATCACAGATTCTATCATTGTAAGAAACTTTACATGGTAATTAGAACTTCTCTCCGTTTAGTGGGTATCTTTCTGTTGATTGTATTTGCTTCATCCATGTTTGTTTTCCTCCATTACCAGGTCAGGAGATAGAGTACCTTTATACTGTGTTGACAGACATCCCAACCAACAGCACATTGTGGCCACAGGAGGCCAGGATGGAATGCTCTGCGTCTGGGATGTGAGGCAAGGCAACATGCCCTTCTCTCTCATGGAGGCGCACTCAGCTGAAAGTATGATTTATTCCAAAATTATTTAGCTCTTTTCCAAATTTCAAACTCTTGGTACATATAGATAATTGGAACCTGTTTTTCATGGGCAGTGTGGGAGGTTCACTTCCATCCTACAAACCCAGATCATCTGTTTACGTGTTCAGAGGACGGCTCTCTGCTGCACTGGGAGACCTCCTCCCCATCGGAAATGCCCTCCTTCTTACAAGGTGAGTCTAATTGGAGATTGGTTTAAATCATATACGGGATTAGTGGCATTTTTTTTAAGCAGCTTAAACAGTCGTCACATTTTTCAACCAGATTACAAACTTTCAACGTTTCTTAAACTTTAAAACATTTCATAAAATTGTGCTGCCCGACTTTTAAACCAGTACATAGCAAAAACTGATGAAAACATTTCAGCAAAACATTCTTAAAATAAGTTTATTTACCTTTCATTTGAGCAGGTTAATAAGATGAATAAGCCATTTAATAATGAATAAGCCAATTAAATTAGCATTTTTGCCCTTAAACTAAGACAATAAGATTGTATATTTAAAACACACATTACTGCTCATTTCCTTCATATATCCCTATTTGTGAAGAATTCAGTGCAGCTGAACACCCAGTCCAAGTCGTCCAAGCTAAATCATGCAAAATAGCGGGCACCGACAGTATGTCCAAATAACTATGGCAACGGCGCTGTAGTCAGACAGAGACTTTGGCTGCGTTCACACAGCAGCTAGAAGTGACCAAAATCTGATGTTTATTTTTTTTTCCCCATATGCGACCTGTATCTGATCTTTTCATGATGATCTGAACAACACAGATATATATTTTTTTTTTCCATTGCTATTCAGGCCACTTGGCTATGTGGTCCTCAATACGATGCGTATTTGATCTTCTGAAATGTGACCTGTGTCTGAATGGCCAGGTTGCAAACATCCAACCTTTACAACATTAATACTCGACAGAGTACCAGTCTTATATATTTGGAAATATGAACGACCACGCTAAAGAATCCGATTTCACAAAATTAGTGACCATTACTGATCACAGTGACACGAACCTGACTGAAAATATAGCGTTTGTCAGCTTGAAACCGATTTAGTTGCACAGCTGCTGCATTGAGATCAATTATAGCCTAATGTACATCGCTGTAATGCATTACATGAATTTGCCTTCCATATTTTGAATAGGAAGGCTCTCGTTAAATACCCTATGTCAGATGGTTTACACTAATTTTTAAACATTACAAAAAAAAACTTCAGTTTTTATCTATTTTGATCTGCGGTCTGGAGATGTATGAGGGGAATTCTTAGCATGTCTGAACTTCTTTCCGTTTCTTATTGCCGTCTCATTTGATCTATCAAACATCCATCCTAACAGCCTGTAGTTTTGAAGGATCCCTTTTTTAAGCCCTGACAACTGTACAGAAATGAATTCCTTGTCAATTTTCAATTTAAAGTTTTGAACTCTGCAAATATCGTGATGGGAAACATGTGTTGTAACTTTGCTTTGTTAAAAAACAAAACAAAAAAAACGAGATGATTCAGAAAAAACAAATCTACATAATTATTATTTTTTTGAATGATGGATTAACTTAATGGGTTGTATTTGTAATACAATTTTGCTGTCTATACTTTGAGTTTGTACAATATATAGAAATAAGGATTGACTCCTCAGTCTTCAAGTTTTCTTCAACAAATTTTATCTGCTGAAAATGATATTTATATTCCTAATTGGATCAATTAAGAAAAAGTAAATGAACTGAATTTGTACCTGCATTCTCTGGGTTTACCCAAATATCTTAGTTGCCAGGTTTTATCACCAAATAGCTAAAACATGCTGTCACTTAGCTGTTTTTTTGTTTTTGTTTTTTGCCACTAGGAGGTAGGAACAGCAGCATGACCTCACGTAGCGCGATGGCCCCGGCTGGAGGTAATCAGTCCATCGTCAGCGCCTGGCTCCGTGGAGACTCCAGTAAATCCCGCCTGGAGACGACTCACATGCTGCCCACCCAGACGCTGTCAGTCAACAGCTTGGATGTGCTTGGGCAGTGTTTGGTCTGTGGGACTGATGGAGAAGCAATTTTTATCAACAGACAAGTCCCAGTTTAATGGCGCTGTTTGCAAATGCAAATGTTATTTTCCTTGTTTCAGGCACAGCAGAGCCTGGTATGAACTTTTTTACTCTGTTATTGCATTTTCAACAATTTTCAAGAACGCCGATTATCTTTTTCTTAATGAATCTGTCTGTCATGCATGCCTGACTTGGATTTGCAGTGATATATTATTAGAAATTAAAGACTTGTAGACGGTTTCACACATTACGTTTCAGTTTACAAATACATTTTGTACAGATTACTTTAAAAAGAAATGAATAAAACGAAACATTTTCAAACTATTGACAGTTTTTTCATCGTAACTTCTGAGATTATTTTCACATAATTTTTAGATCACATTATTGCGAGCAGTTTACCTTATGTTAGTAAAGGTGACATATCTCCATGTATATTGTTGCAATTAGTTGTCATGAAATGCAGGTATATGATGGTGAAAGAAGGATAAAGAAAAGATTACAGTATCAGGCAGAATCCAGGTAAGTTTGTCAAGTTTCACCTTTTTGTGCTCCTTTTTGCACAGTTTGTTTTCCCAGTTAGGCATTACAAATGTTAATTGATCATTACAACAGACTATATGCACTATGGGGCTGCTCAGTGACACAGTGGGTAGCACTGCTGCCTTGCAGCAAGAAGGATCTGGGTCTCTTCTGCATGGAGTTTCCATGTTCACCCTGAGCATGTGTGGGTTCTCTCCGGGTACTCTGGCTTCCTCCCACAGTCCAAAAACTTGACTGTTAGGTTAATTGGCTTCTCTAAATTGCCCTTAGGTGTGAGTGTGTGCAGAAAATTGTTTGTTGTTTGTCTCTGTGTTGCCTGTCCAGGATGTACCCCGCCTCTTGCCCGTAGACAGCTGGAGATAGGCACCAGCACCCCTCGCCACCCCACTTGGAATAAGCGTGATAAAAAAATGGATCGATGGATCTATGCACTATGATTATGCTGTTTTGTAATGTTTCCCTTGTCATGTTTTTTTTTTTTTTCCCTGTTTGGTTTACATATTTTGCCATGTAGAATAAACCAATAGGTAATTCCATTAGTAACTATTAATTTCCACACATCAAATGTACAGATTTTTTTCCCCAGTCTATTTAAGCTTTATTTTCATTTCTATATATATATATATATATATATATATATATCAGTAATTAGTGTATTAATATATTTAGATGTTAACTAATTTGTTAATATATGATTTCACCCATTTTTATCAGAGGGAGAGGTTTGCTTTATTTTTTGTTTCAGTTCACTCATTTTAATTAAATTCACAGTTTAATCCAATTAGGTTTAATATTCTTATTTTCGGTTTGTTTTTATCTCAATTCGTTCTACTTTTTTGTTTTATTTATTTATGCGGTATTAGTCGATTATATTTTTATTTTGTGTTGGTTTTTGTTCACCTCATATCAATATTTTTAATTTTAAACCAATCAGTTTTATTTAGGTTTTATCTATCCTAACGCTAGTTGAACACTTTTATTTTGAAAGTCTGTAGCAGTGTTCACAGGTCCTACTTGTCATTCAGATATCCCAGGAATTTAACACAAGGAACCTGCTAGCGCGACACAACAAGCACCTTTTGAGTTAGAAACACGGCTTCCAAACAGAGGAGCTGCCGTAACATTTGCTGGTTATTGAAACAGGGGAGGTTCTGGAAAAAGCAGAAGCTACAGACTGCGGTAAGTTAACCGACAGGAGCTAACTGTTCCCAGTTCCGAGCTAGCAGGCTAATTCCTAACCTGTTGTTGAATACCAGCTAATGGACGCCTCACCAGTCAGGCCGTTCTCAGTGATTTCCTCAGCGATTTACTTTATTTTAGTCACCAATTGTTGTTAATTAACCTACGCGAGCTATTAATATATTTTTGTTAAACGTTTTTAGCATTATTGTTCCCCGTCGACGGAGAATTAACGTAACAGTAATGCTATGTTAGCGTGGAATGCTAACAAAGCTAATCAATTGGAAGAGGTCTTGGCTGTTATAGTAGACTTTTTTTCAATTTATTATTTTTAATGAAGTCTGTAGCTAATATTTCTTAAAATGCACCTAACAATGAAGAAGTCATACAACTGGTCTCGCGTGCCCTTCTGACATAATAGTTATCTCCTGGTAAATGTTTATCTGTGTTGATTCCTGCTGCTCAATCTCATTTTTGCCCAACCTGTCTGGTAGCATTACTCCCATTCCTCTTTATCTCGCATGCATTTTATATTGAATGTTTTTTTGGTTGTTTAAGGAGCAGCATGCAGATGTGAAGCCAGACATCAGAGGCTCTGATCATCAGCTCGGTTCTGGACAGGTGACATCTTCATCCTTTTTTTAACGTCCATATAAATGCTTGTACATGAGGAGAGGAGAGAAACCCGAAGGACACAGGCAGATGAGACCCAAAACTTTCCCCACCAGCAACTACAGCGGTAACAGCCAGCAGATGCTGCAGGAAATCCGGAACAGCCTGCGGAATTTGTCCAAACCCTCCGACCCTCCTAAAGCGGAGCCTGTAGGACAAGCAAATATGCTCCCAGAGGACCCCAGGCATCAGGGGCGCACCAGCAACCCAAAACACTCCTACCATAAGGCATTACAGGAGATCCGCAAGACCCTGGCGCCTTTTGAAGTGAATGTTTCATCTAGTAGTGATTCTACCACTTCAGGCTCTGATTTTAAGCAAATATCGCTGGAACCAAGTGCTGGGTTTGAGGAGGTAAGATTGGCCTTAATTTTTTGTGTGTGTGTGTTTTTTTTTTTTTTGCCCCCACTTTCTCACAAATGGCACGTTTGATGAAGAATTTTGATCATTCTTTCTTCATCATCATTCTTTTAATTCTTATGTAATTGAGAAGAACAACTTAGTACACTTTGTTTGGAGGGGAATTATTTGGAAAATGTCAGGTATGCAATGTGAAGTGACAAGTTTGTACAGTTATCAGTACAAAACAAGTTTTACATCTGTCAGTCAACTTTTGTTTGCATGCATGTTCGATATCCAAGTATGAAGAGAGATAGTGTGCATTAGTAATGTGTTTAAAAAAATAAATAAAAATGTGTCAAAGTTTAGGTTATTGATTCAATCACTAAAATCAGTTTCACATTTCTATACCTAAGCCTTTTTTGATCAAACAAAAAACTTAAAAAAGCTACAACCACAGATTCAAATCTCTTTTTAGCTGTATGCGGCTAAAGCAAATGTGAATTTGGTATCTAAACTAAGCTTTATTTCTGCCTTTCTAGCCCAGCAGCAGCAGCCGCCGCGTTGCCTCAGACCAAATGGTTAAGATGAATTACCAGGACTCCAGGGAGCAGAAGGCTGCGGCTAACAACTCTACAGGCCTAAAAGCACCAGGTATTAGATCGTATCCACTGGGATCGGGGCTGGTTTTCATTTCGTCCTTCTACCTTTTCATCTAGGCTCCATATCGTTTACATTTGGTGACAATATGTTGGATTTAGGACAACTGCAGCACATGCTTCCAAAGAGTATGACTAATGCAAGAATTTGACAAAACATCTTTGGTTTTAAATCATTGATGAATCCTTTGAGAAGCAGCTTGTCTTTATTGTGTATTGTTTTTTCCTATTGTTGGCTATTACAGCCATTAATTTCAGTATATAGTTTGCTTTACATTTATTTCCTTAAGTTTTGTTATTGAAAGTCTCTTAATAAATGAACTTTTGTTACTTAAATATAAAAAGTGTAACGCTAACATCTGGATATAAGGCAAACATGTTTTGATTTAAACTGTTGTGTAAACATTATGGATTTTCCACACATATCCAGCTCCAGTCGATATTTCCTCCTATAAAACAAATGTTGGACTTTTAATGAGTTCAGTTTTTTGCTTATTTATTACAGATTCTCTTTTCCCCCCACAGCTTCTTAGTGATTCATTGAGACTTAAATCGGTCAATTCAGCCAAAAGATATTGTTTTTGTAAACATCACCAAGCTTCTGCGATGATTCCTCGTGGACGTTTGAACCCTCTTGTTTGCTAGCAATGGGAGAGTTGATAGAAATTGATTGGTTTCCTGGTAGCACAGTTCAAAATCCTTCAGTGGGTTCAGGTCAAAACTATTTCAGGAGTTGGTTGTTTAAATACCCAACTGTGTCGTAGTTGACAAACTTGGAAGTAAATCACTTTACTTATTCTCACCTGTTATAGAATGAAGTAATAGCACTCGCATGTGTTGACCCTAAGTGTGATGGTCAGGAATGATCCTACCACCTTCAGGCTTGGCTAGCGATTCTGTGCGATTCTGTTTTGAGGTTCTTAAGTCCAACACAAATTCTGTTTCCATTCGCCATCAGTTTGCACAAATTTGAGTAAAAAAAAAAAAGTGCAATTAAACAAAAAAGATGTTTTTTGATGAAAGCTTTTTATGCTGTGATGAGGCGGTTGTATCGTAATTCTTATTTCTCAAAGCTGCAATGAAAACACTTGTTTGCATCACATGATTGATCCCGTCCCGTGATCTGTAGCTGGACCTTACTTGTTAAAAGATAAAGAAAACTGGAGCTACTTGGAGGATGATGGCACCCACTACAGCCATGCTTGATTTTCAAATTTGATTGTATTTTTATCTAATGGAAATACCCCTATAGAGATCCTTTTGCAATGAGAAGAATATCAAGATAGTTTTGAGCATATTTCTATTGGAAATGAAGCTACAGATGCCTCCAGTCATTTATTCCATTATGTGATTCTTTGTTTTATAACCGACTGAAGTTGAATAGTTATTCCACTGAAAAAGAGCAGCTTTGAACAATCAAATTAAATAACATGTTTCCAGAATTTCCTCATTCTGGGACAATAAAGGGATTTTTTTTTTATGTATATCCATGATGGCTACTTTCAAAAGCTAATTCCTTAAAGCTAATTTTTCTATCGTGAAAGAGGTTATTACTTATAACAGCTTTAGTTCCCATTTAAGAAGATTAAGTTGTTTTTTTAATGAGTTTCTTATATCATTTTAATGGTATCATTACTCTGCATGTTTTTGTGCAGGACCTTCTCACAAGCAGCAGGCTGTGCTGAGGAAGCTAAGTTGGAAGGGATCGAAGGAGTCTCTGGCTCCTCGATTGGGTCCTCTCAAGGTAGAAGGAATAATGTACCGTTCGGACAGCCCTGGACCACCTCCCGTTTACCCACAGGGCCCCTCTGCCAACAGCCAGAGAGTAAACCCTCCACTGCATCCTCAGATGCGCAGTGTCACACCTCCACCAAACCGTGGCGGCATGCCGCCAACATCCTCTCGGGAAAACAATCCATCCAAGCGCTACTCTGGGAACATGGAGTACGTTGCTCAGCGGATTTCTCCAGTTCCGCAGCCCGGCTGGCCTGATGGTTATCAGAATCCGTCCCCCCAGAACCAGCGTGGGATTAGCGCTTCAGGCCACCAGCCCATCATCATGCAAAGCTCTGGTGGAAACAAGTTCACCTTCCCTTCCACTTGGACTCAGAATGGTCCCACTCAGCCAGAGTACATACAGGGCGGCAGCAGACAACTGCCTCCCCCTTACCCTGTAAACAGCCGACATAGCCCAACGGAGCAGGAGCAGGCTGCGGGACCCACATCCTCTCCCTCTTATCTAAATGGTGGAAACATCCCTTCGTCAATGTTGGTTTCAGACCGAAACAGTCACAACCTCGATATGTACAACCTGGGTCCTCCACAGCTGTGGTCCCAGGCCCCTCTGGCCTCCAATCAGCCACAGTCTGCATCCGGTAACAGTAGCAACCAGGACCTGTCCCCGTCGTGGCAACACAACATGCCGGGTCGCTCCAAATCTTTCAACAAGCACCAGATCAACGGTAGCCCTGCTCATTCATCCGGCTCCCAGCCTTCTGCCACCACCGTTACTGCCATCACGCAGGCTCCCATCCTGCAGCCAGTGAAAAGCATGCGTGTCCAGAAACCTGAACTACACACTGCTGTCGCTCCTACACACCCACCATGGATACAGCAGGTTACCCCATCCCCGCCTGCACCCGCCTACCCCGATCCCTCACCTGCTGTACCTCAGATTGAAGTGCCCAGCTATCAAGGCCCACCTCCACCGTATCCTAAGCACCTTCTCCCCACGTCCTCCCCACCGGCATATGACTCTGCAGCCACAAAGCATGGCACAGGCAGGGAGGAGGCTGCGGAGGAGATCAGCAATGGGGACAAGGCGGCGGAAAGCGCCGACAGCTCTGCGGTGACTGAGAAGGAGAGGAAGCAGATCACTACGTCCCCCGTCCCAGTGCGTCGCAACAAGAAGGACGAGGAGCCCAGAGGGGAGTCGGGAAGAATTAATCTGTACTCCCCTCAGGCCTTCAAATTCTTCATGGAGCAGCATGTGGAGAACATCCTGAAGAATCATCAGATGAGGATCCGGAGGAGGAAGCAGCTAGAAAGTGAGATGCAGAGGGTAAGAAAAAAAAAAAAAAACACCAGCTGTAAATAAAATGTTTTCCTACTTTGAGAGATCTTCAGACATATTTTTTGCCTTCCATGCTTTGATATGTTCAACCTTTTTATGCTCTTTTGTATTTTTCTTAGCTGTTTTTTCTTTCCTTTTCTCTCCTCGCTGTCTTTAACAGCTGACCTGAAAGGTAAAAGTATTTTATTCTCTCCTGTGATCACTCGCCTCGGTGTTTAACCAAGGTTTAAATCATCACTCTAGCATTATGTCCTCTGTATGAAGAGAATGCATGACATCCCTCAACTTTCATTTCATCAGCTGTGACTCTGCTTGCTTTTTCTTGTCTTGGGGCAGAATGAGTAACTAATAAATGAAAAATAAATCAATCACTAGATTTAAATAGTTTCAGGAGTGTTTTTATTTAGTCATTTGTGGGTGATAAATGCATATATCAGGCTTTTCCTGTTTGATAATGATCTGTTTTCTTTAAGGTTTGGCCTGTTGAGTGATATTTTTAATTAATATTGCCACTACATCACAAAAAGATGGGGAAAAAATGTTGCAGCTTCCTTAAAAGGGGTGGACGTTTGAAATGCAACAGGAAATTGATTTTTGAAGCATTATGGAATTTTCTGATGATACTGCCACCTTTGGCCAAAATACAGAACTGCAGCTCTCTAGTCTTAAGAGGGAAATAAAAAAGATGTAAAGATATTTCCCAGTAAAGTAACTTTTCTCTTGAAGACCACCTCTTTCGTTTATTTTTCCAGACTAATAGTTTTGAACTTTATCTTGAGTAATACTAAACTCAAAGGAATGTGCATGTTTTTGGACATATTTAAAACAAAAGTTATTTGGTTATTGGTTTGGATAACCGGGTAAAAATAAATGGTATTTGTAGATATCTGATCCACTGATCAGGGGACAGTTGTTTAATCAATGCATCTGTTGTACATTTTATCGCTTTGATTCTGTTCGAATCTAACAAAATAACACCTTCAAAGGTATTTTTCATTTTAATTTGTCTGATCTAATTTTAACTTTCTTTTCTCAGGTGGGTTTGACCTCAGAAGCTCAGGAGCAAATGCGAATGATGCTCTGTCAGAAGGAATCCAACTACATCCGTCTTAAGCGTGCCAAAATGGACAAGTCTATGTTCAAACGGATCAAGACGCTCGGCATCGGAGCTTTTGGGGAGGTTTCCCTGGCGAGGAAAGAGGACACAGGGGCGCTGTACGCTATGAAGACGCTTCGCAAGAAGGACGTGTTGCTGAGGAACCAAGTGGCTCACGTAAAGGCTGAGAGGGACATCCTGGCCGAGGCTGACAACGAGTGGGTGGTGCGCCTTTACTACTCCTTCCAGGATAAGGACAACTTGTACTTCGTCATGGAGTACATTCCAGGCGGTGACATGATGAGCCTCCTCATTAGGCTCGGCATCTTCCAGGAAGAGCTGGCTCAGTTCTACATCGCAGAGCTCACCTGCGCTTTGGAGAGCGTGCACAAGATGGGCTTCATCCACAGAGACATCAAGCCTGACAACATCCTGATAGACAGAGACGGACACATAAAGCTGACGGACTTTGGCCTCTGCACTGGTTTCCGCTGGACCCACGACTCCAAGTATTACCAGAGCGGTGAGTAATATTCTTCCACAACTGATTCAGTAATCGATTAATCGTTAACTGGAGTGTAGAGACTCTAAAATATGCCTTTAGCTGAGACTGTTCCACTTATACCAGTAAATATACCAAGATAGTGAAAAAAATAGAAATATTTAGCATTTAAGATAAAGGAAAACATTCTCCCGTTAATATGCTCTATCCAGTACTCCACGAGTGGAAAAGCTTCAGTTTCACCTGGTTTAATTTTGTATAAATTCTTCTTTAAGGAATTTTTCGCTATCCGATTATTATTAATCGATGATCAAAATAATAATTTTTTGCAGCCCTAGACTGATTATTTTGCACCTTTGTCGTATTGGATCAGATCAGGCTTTTCCGGCCACAATTTAGAGTTCATCTGTGATGACATATTTTAGAATGCATAAAATAACACAAATGTGCCCCCCCATAAATGCAAAGAAATTGTGAGTTTTTTTTAATAGTCGGGTAGATTAAAGGAATAGTACACCCAAAACATGATTAGCCCTCATTTTCTACTCACCCCCATGCTGAACAACACTCTGGAGTACTTTTTTGATATCTCAAATGCATCTGGAGATCTGGGAGGCTTCTTACTGTCTGCTGACATTCAAATAATGGAGGTCTATGGTGACCGAGGCAGAAAGGTCCATAAAAGTCCACAAAAAACGTGTCAATATTCCTCCATACTGCTCGTCCAATGTATTCCAAGTGTCCTGAGTGGGTAGCATCCAGAATTTACTCGAAACGAAGTCATTTAGAATGTTTTTAGAGCATAAACAGTAGTGTATAGGATTTCCTAAAAGCGCGTTCACGAGTCTACGGAAACCGCGGCAGACCAAACCAGACGAAAGTGCGCATTCAGCTCGGCAAAGAACTCATGCTCTTCCTCAACACTGAAGTCCTCAGACATTTTTCTTTCGTTGTTTCTTTCTTTGCACAGGTAAACAGCACATTTTTTCTTCTACGCTTGCATTATCGGCAGAGCAGACGCTGAATGTGCACTTTCATCTGGTTTGGTCTGCCGCGGTTTCCGTAGCGTCGTGAACGCGCAGGCACGCGCTTTTAGGACATCCTATACACTACTGTTTATGCTCTAAAAACATTCTAAATGACTTCGTTTCGAGTAAATTATGGACGCTACCCACTCAGGACACTTGGAATACATTGGACGAGCAGTATGGAGGAATATTGACACGTTTTTAGTGGACTTTTATGGACCTTTCTGCCTCGGGCGCCATAGACCTCCATTATTTGAATGTCAGCAGACAGCAAGAAGCCTCCCAGATCTCCAGATGCATTTGAGATATCAAAAAAGTACTCCAGAGTGTTGTTCAGCATGGGGGTGAGTAGAAAATGAAGGCTAATCATGTTTTGGGTGTACTATTCCTTTAATTGCATTGTAAAATGTTTCTATTTTCAGCAATCAGTCCTAGCCACCAATCACAGGATCTGTCCGGTTGTTTTAGAAGATCTTTGTTTATCAAACAAATATTTTTTGTGAAAAATATTTAATGCGAAAAAGAAAATAAGATCAAAACACTCCTCAGAGCAGTTGAAGTATATAAAATATGTCTGAGTATTTGGGTAAGCTGCACTGTTTAGCAAGTTGTACTACGTTCAGGCAGTGACATACCGGTACTTTCACACGCTGATGGTGCCGAGTTAGGTTGTGGCCACAGCAGCTTTGCAACTGTTAGAAAGTGGAGCAGATTGGAAGGCAGTCTCACTTCTAACAGGACATGATAACGGAGCAGCTGCCCAAACGGCTACAAACCCCAACCTCCTCCTTCGTGTCCATTAACTCGATTAATTCAAATTTAAATTAGTTTTACACAACGTACTGTAAGAAAATCCGAATATAGCTTACCATTACAGGAGGAAAAAACGGTCTCCTAATTGAAATATTGTCTAAACAAATCCAAAAACCTTTTTCCCATAATTGTGTCTTAGGGGAATATTTTTAGTTTTTTTAGCTCTGAACAATTCTTAATGTTTTTGGATTAAAAACGGCACATAATTATAATAAAAAGTTATAGTATTCAATTTATTAAAAAATAAAGATAAAGAGGCTAACACCTGAAAACCTTTCCATAAAATCTGTCACTATTGCTAATCACAGTTTTCTTCTTTTACTTAAGAAATATTTGACAAATTGAATCCCTTAACTGAAGGAAAAATCCTTTCTTCCTTTAAAATATTAGAATAAACTGTCCTCATAGTTGCTGACTTTTAATGCATCTTTATCATATAAACCTGGACTATAGTTATTTGAAGAAAAAAAAAAGTTTATTTACAAACTGATTTCTTGGTAGGGGATCATGTGAGGCAGGACAGCATGGACTTCAGTAAGGAATGGGAAGATCCGGCCAACTGTCGCTGTTCCAATCGCCTGAAACCCCTGGAGAGGAGGAAGGCCCGGCAGCACCAGCGTTGCCTGGCCCACTCCCTGGTGGGAACGCCTAACTATATTGCTCCAGAGGTTCTGCTCAGAACAGGTACTGTGGGTGAGACACTGAGATTTCTAACTCTGCCATTTTTAATAGCTGTAGTTTGGCAGCCATCTATGAATTATCCTCAGATAAGATCTGATTAATAGAAAGTTTATTTTATCCGCTGCAGGATACACCCAGCTGTGTGACTGGTGGAGTGTTGGTGTCATCCTGTATGAAATGGTTGTTGGACAGCCTCCATTCCTGGCAAACACACCCCTGGAGACGCAGATGAAGGTATGAAAGGCTTGCCCTGCATTGTTACGCAGTCGCAGACTTCCTGTTGCTTCAGTGTTGTGTCTGTGTCATTGAAACCAGGTGATTAACTGGAAGAGCACGCTGCACATCCCCCCTCAGTGCAAGCTCAGCCCAGAAGCCTCCGATCTCATAGTTAAACTGTGTCGCGGCCCAGAGGACCGCCTTGGGAAGAACGGCGCAGACGAGATCAAAGCTCATCCTTTCTTCAAGAGCGTCAACTTCTCCAGCGACCTACGACAGCAGGCGGCTCCCTACATCCCCACCATCGCTCACCCAACGGACACCTCCAACTTTGACCCCGTGGAGCCAGAAAAGCTGCGCAGAAGCGACGACGAGAGCAACCACAACGACACTCTGAGCGGTTGGTTCCGCAACGGGAAGCACCCCGAGCACGCCTTTTATGAATTCACCTTCCGGCGCTTCTTCGACGACAACGGACACCCCTACAGCTGCCCCAAACCCATCGAGTACGAAGGCTGCGACGAGGACGAGGCGGAGATGGACGGCACGGATCAGGAGAAACAGGGCAGAGACCTGGTTTATGTGTAGTTCCTTATAAACAGATCTTTTAACGTGAGTGAAGGGAGGTTGCAAGATAAAGCATTTAAAACCGTGAAAATAGGAAGAATATGTCGGAGAATTCGAACAAAGCAGCACAGTAGCATTAAACCACATTGAAATGTACAAACGAAGAGCTAGCAGAACTTGATCTCTAGAAATGGAACTGACCTGGAGTCAGAAAAACTAAAAAGCATGATGACAGGAGGAAAGATGTCTGAAAAGCTTTGAAATGCCCAATTATTAACAGGTAATTACAAGAGCCTCCAAACCTTATAAAGATAGTTTGTTGGCATGGAAACCAGGACCCTCCTCAGTGTGGGACTATTACGGCAGCTCGCGGTTATACTTCACTATCAGAGAGGTGTTTAAAAATAAATGAGAGGGAGCACAGTAATTTAACAAGCTGTTTTTCCAATACAACTGCTAGGCTGCATTTTCTATAAGGTGTTGACGCATGTTTTATAAAAGTGAGAGTGAGAGGCTTTAAGCAAATAACAGGAAGGTTAAGGTATTGCAGTGTTGCGCCGTTTGATCTTTTAAATATTGGCTAGTGAAAAGCGTCAGGACTTTAAATATTACGGCATTCTGTTATTGAGATAAAGGTAAACGATACTACCAAGTATTAAATGAATCACAGTTATTGTTTGGCAATAGTGTCACTTGAAGTATTGATAAACTGCATTAAATCATATTAAATCTGTATTGACATTCTTGTGGCCCAACATTAGCAGACATGGTAAAAGTCATATTTTCAACCATACTGAATGTTTGCAAACATTTATTAAAATTAATTTCCCAGGATGTAGATACTTGCAGCTTTCAATCTATGTTTCTATCATCCAGCAGGAAGGCTTGAACAGAATGCAGGTCCTAAATCCTCTTAAAGTGGAATCCATTGGGCATTAATCAACGTTAGAAGGTGAAAGATTAGCCAAAAATTCTGATTGGGTTTCAAATCCTGAGAAATTTACATCAGTAAGAAGTAATTGTAAAATTTTAAACGATGGATTTTTGACTAACAGCTCTTATTCTTGGTCTTGTCAGCATCATTTCTCAGTTTTGGATGTTATGTTTTTTTCCCCTCCAGTTCTGATAGAAATTAGTCCTTCGCTAAAACAGCAGTTAATAGATTTTTTCTCTCTCTTCCAAACCCAGTTTTGCGTGCAAATGAAAATAGTTGCTTAATGGTTTGTTAATTTTTATTGAATGATTTTGTTCTCATAATAGGATCAGATATGCTGTCTTCAGGCGAAACTAATCACAATCATACATCTTCCCAGTTTTTGATGTAAATAATATGCACTGTGAGTGTTGACTAACCCTTCGACAAGAAAACAGGATTAAAATGATCAGGGTGCCATTTTTTTTATTGACAACTTATCGCAACCGCCCCATAGCGCTTTAATTTATTGACACTAGAGTAGATGCTGCTTGAGTCTATTATTTGTCTTAATTTATATTTTCAGTTGTTGCAATGGGGGTGCTTAGAATCATGGCTCGTATTATTCACAGGGATAAATTGTTCTAATCAGTTTTCATTGCTGTGCCTTTTTTTTTTTTTTCACCAAATATTACAAGGGTTAATAATCAGTCTGGCATTTTAAAACGTAGCAGTAGTTGATTGTACTACATTAGTTTTGTTTTTTATTTTTCTAATTTATACTTAAATGTATTTATAAATTAAGTTGTACACCACGGATGTAAATATTTTCTGTTCCCTTTGAACTCATTTTTCCTCCCCTCCTTCTGGACAGACCCTGGTCTGTGTACCGCTGCTGTCTTTAGTCATTATGTACTTTTTATTTCCGACACTATTTTACTTTGACTAGGTTTAGTTATTCTGCAAACCAAAGCACTAAACAAGGTTTTCCTCATTTTTTTTTAATGCTGTTTCTAGGTACCTAACAACTACATCCTTTGGGCTCCTCACTGTGACTTTAGTAAAATAATAAAACACTAAAGTTACATTATTTTTTAAATACAAAACTGTATTCTTGATCATAAATATTACTTCCTTGCTGTACTTTTACTGTGTAGGAATCTCTGAATGTAGTTCTGGTTGATTTAATAATGACCACTGTCATTATGCACTGGTTGTTTTGTAATTGTTGAGAGAAATTTATTTTTGTGTACATTTTTTGTTGTGGAAATTTTTGGGAAGAGGGTAATAATAAAAAGAACTTTAGAGCTGATCCGTTTTATTTTCTTCATTTAGCCCAATGCAAAGACTGCATGAGACCATAAAGGGATTTATTTAGGTGGTTTAAAAAGTTTTTAATATTTCATAAATTAAGGATAAGTCAGTTTAGCCTTAGTCTAGTCTTAAGTCTTTTAATCCTTCCAAAGCTTTGGACCTTTTAACTTTAAATACTTCTATCAGTATTCTTACAAATTCAGGTCATAACGTTGTTGCTTCACTTCGACCAATTTGTTTTTATTACAGAAACGTACCGACAAAGTAAATTTACTGTAAAGCATTTGTTCTGCACCCAGACTTAAAATAAATGGTTAAATAAAATGCTCCCATAGTGAAAGATCTACCAATGTTGTTCTGTGAATATACTTTTCAAGGAGTAGATAAAAAGTCGATCTTTCTGCTGCTGTTAAAAGTAATGATGTAATTAAAAAATACACATTCACCTTATTCAACGCAGTCAATTGTGATGATTCAGACGTCTAAATTATAAAAGTGGTTGAGGACCAAGGTTTGGAACATTTTTGTTAAATGCATGAAGAGGGCACTAAAGTTTAAAATATGAGGACTGAAAGATGGTGTTAATGGATCAAGAGTAACTTAATGAGTAGGATAGTTGGGAGCTCAGATTTCAGGTACTTGTTCACGGTCCATGCCTTGTGAATCCTTTTCAAACTCGTAAACTCTGCTTGTCCGTCCTACTAGTGCACTTCTGACACTTTTTCCTTCCACTCAACTTTTTAGATTTCTTCTGTATAAAGCACTGAACAGCAGGCTTTTTCAATGGAAGCTGGAAGGCATTGCTGGGCGATTATAAAAACAGGCTTTACAGCGATTGAAAAGAAAATTACAGATCCAGTACACAGATTTACAGCATGCCAGTGCTTTTCCTTTGAAACGGTTTTTGAATTGCACAAATTACTAAAATTAAATCTTGCTAGTCTGATTTGAGATGCACATCCATCACGTTATCCCAAGTGGAGTCGCAAGGCGTGCTGGTGCAGCTGTCTACAGGGGAGAGGTGGGGTGCACCCTGGACAGGTCGCCAGTGCATCGCAGGGCTTGAGATGCACATCTAAATTCATCATCTTGATGTTGAACCCTTTTTTTCTTTTTCTTTTAAACCCTCATCAGGTTTATGCCTCGCAAACTGTCTTATTGCATGGTAAAAATATTTGAAATCCAAAATTGTCACTTGATTGTATTTGCCTGTGAAAAGGTGCATATTCAAAAGGTGTTAGGGATCATTAGCAATGAGGTAGATAATTTACCAGGAGGGTCACCTAATCAGATAACTAGGTGTAAAAGCAATGGAGTAACATACAGTACACGAGCTGAAAGGACCAGATCAACTTAGATCCCCTCTTATTGAAATATGCCAACTTAAAAATACTTTCAAAGCATGACATAAAAGTATTGGCAAACCCCTCAGGCAAATGTCATCTTTATTTCAAAATGTCTCCAAAATATTACAGTTGGCCTTCAGGTTTTAATAAAACCCAATCATAATTAAGAACATTCCTTAGCACTAAAACACAAAACCCTATTTTTTTTTATTATAGATTGACTCACAGATTATGGCTTTTATAAGATTTAATATAGTTAAGAGTTAGCCTTACAAACCTAAATCTTTAGAATAAATCTATCAGTGCAGAAGTTAATTCTACAATTTAAATCTAAAAATGAAAAAAGCTAATGCCACCAGGGGGAGCCAGATGACAATGATTTGTGTTATATTAATTTATACTTTTAATTTTATTAATACATTTTTTTTTTTGTAGTGCGCAACTATATTGAGAAGAGGCTTTAATTTAGGTAATTTCCCTTTGGGATGAATAACTTGTTTAATTGAACTCATTAAAATAAACTGATTTTTATTCCCATTTTCAAACACAGCTGATTAACCATTAAATATAATACGGTAGTAACATTTTACATTTTAATTTCTTGATTAAAATATGTCTAATTAAGATTTGCTGCCAGTATTTAAAAGATTCAAACAGCATTTCTGAGCAACAAACTATTCACAGTATCAGCTGGAATAGTTTTAACATTTGATTTTAATACATTAGGTTTACATTATCAGCAATGTAAGGACTATTAGTGATTTTAAAGCCAGTCATAAGGCTGATGGATTTCACCATGGCTGAAACAGACTTCAGTCTTCGTTCTGTACATGATTGAGGACAACAAGTTAACTTAAACAAGCTTACTTTTAATGGATCTGCAAAACTGTCTGAATTTCCAAAGAGAACTTGTGTACCTCCCAGCCCACAGTTACCCAGTGGCAAACGTTACACAATGTTACAGAAACGTCTCCAACCCAAAGAAACCTGCATGCAAAAAAAAAAAAAAAAAAAAAAAATAGGAAAAAAAAAAGAACTCAAACATATAAAGTAAAATAATCCATACAGATAAAAATAAAACATCAATAAACAGGACATACTGTATAATGCCGTTCTCTTGGCTGAAGAAGAAATTCAAACGCTTTAGCTTCAGTTCCACTTCTTCAAAAACTGACAGATTATTGAACTGTAATCTCATTGGGTAGATGTGGCTCCACCCACCACACAGCCCCACCCCTGTCTTCCATATAAGGCACAGGACAAAATAAACCCCCACATACAAAAGGAGCTAGCCACGCCTCTGTCACTCAGTAACAAAGTGTAAATAAACAAACACAGTAAGATGACAGAAAGCCCACTAAGTGTACAAAATGTTACTACTATAGTAGTTTCTTTTTTTTTGGTCTGATTTTATTTTTTGTTTAGTTTTTTTTGGAGTTCCTCTGAAAGTGAGAGCTGTGGGTGGGCGGTGTTTAGAAGGGCGGGAGGGGGGGTAGTGAGTCCAACCAAATGAGCTCAAGCAAAAGGAAATATTAAAAATATTGTCTTTTCATAGGTTTGTCTTTTCTTTTTAAACAACCGTTAAAACAAATGACAAGAAACGTGACTGGATTTCTCCTTTTATCAGAAATAAAAATGATAATCAGATGCATGGTGGAGGAATATGAAGTGGAGAAGGAGAGGGTGGTTAGACAACTGAAGTGGTTTATTGTTTTATTCTGATAAAGAGACAAAATGTCAGTGTAAGAGAAAAACTCATGAGACAGGTTAGAGGGCGAGACAGTTAGAGTTAGCAGTTAAAGAGATTGTATGCGTGTCTGTGTGTGTGTGAGACTGTGTGCGTTAGTGTGGGTGAAAACTGAGGAGTTGTTCAGCTGCAGCACTTGCTCTTCCAGCCTGTGACTCCACCTCCATTGGTGATGTCCACATTTTCACTGTTGGGCTCTTTTACAGGCGTCTGCAGAACAAAATGCAGACAAAACAACTGTTAAGAAAAATAACATTAAATCACTCTAGAATTTGGACAGGTATTTTGTTAGCATTGCTGATTGTATCCAAGATAAAGCAATAACTACCTCCCTTTCATTTATCACTGGAGTTTTGCAACCATCTGCTACTTCATGGGTGGGGATTTATTTTTCCTCCACGGCCACATAATTACCTGGATCTGTAATCTAAGGCCTAAACACTAAACACAATTTTCCTGGTTATATCGGATTATAAACTTTTAATTGCATGTTATACCCGTCTCTGGTGACACACTGAAGTTTAGAAATAAATAAACTATCAACTGCATCTTTTCCTAAATTACTCATTTTAGCATTTTCTAATGAAAAAAACCCAAAACTTTAATTTTTATCTTGCTCTTTTTAGAGGCTTGGACTTCATTTATAGTGATAAAAAAAATGGATGGATAGATGGATATAGATAGACGTGGTCATTTAGAAATTTAAACCACATGGTGTTTATTTAGTTGTAAAGTTATTCTATAATACGTCTACATTACAGGGGGATACAGCAGAGATGCAACTTGTAATTTGCTCCCATGAGGGATCACTTTGTCGAAAAAAAGAAAAATAAAATAAAAAGAAAACCACGGGTTGCGCTAACAGCTATTTAGTGCTGAAGTTGTTACAGGAGTAAAGAGACAAACTTCTTTCGTTTTCTGGATGCGTGAAAATTTTGTCAAAGGAACTTTTACAAAAAAGTGATTATAGTTCAGTAGCTTTTCCTAAAGGCTGCTACTTTAAAAAGCAAACAACTTCTGCAAAAACTGGAAGCTGGAAATCAGTAAAGCTGCCCTGTATTACCCTTTGAAGGGTGCAATTCTATTATATAGGGATCATGCTGAATAAAGAAAAGCCAGAGACTTTAGACATTTTATAGATTTATAAGAATCTTTTTAAACTATGAGTATTACACATAAAGCTTGACATTTACAGTTTATCTTGTTAGTTTATTAATGATGCTAAATGAGGAAGACATGTTCAAGAGAGAATTTCTAATCTTCTTTACCAAAGTTCTACAGCAAAGATTATTCTTTTTCCACATTGTGATGCCATCTCTAACAAACACCTTTTTTTATTGCTCTTTTGTGGCAAAAATAAAGGATTTATTAAACTTACACCAAAACCCTTTTTTCACCCATTTATTTGAAATATTTTATGGAATTTATTGAAATTGAAAAAATGTTTCTTTATATCAGAGGTCATGGATTAGGGGAGCAGGGTCCGGATCTGGACCCACCCGTTGGCTAATCTGGACCAAACCTGATTTAAAACATTTATAAATTACTGCATGTTATCCGACGACAGTGTCTAAAGGTCACTGAAGCTCCGCATCTCCTGTTTGTATGGTAAAGCCACCCGGAGCGTCCAGCATCAGGCTGCATGTGATACAAATTAGCCAATGAGCTGCTGTCAGTCTGGGTTGCTGCTGCTAGCTACTTTTAGACACAGCAGGCAAATCTATGGCAAGTTGGGCGATGGGAAAGAAGGAGACAACGAGAAAGAGAGAGCAGAGAAAGTGTGGACAGCTGGAAGAAGCGCGGTGAACTAGTAAAAGAAAATAGAAATGGCATGCTCAAAGTTGACTCTGCACATTTTGAGTATGTTTGGCTTAACCTGCTGCTGTGAAACCATGACAATCAGAAATAAATA